CAGGATAAAAAGATACCTCTCTCAGCCTCTTATCTTGTCTCCACCTTCATGGGGGAAACCCATGAGATTGTACATATCTGCCTCTGAAGTTAGTATAGGTAGTATGTTAGCACAAGAAGATAGCAATGGTATCGAAAGAGCCATATACTATTTAAGTAGAGTATTGAATGATGCAGAGACCAGATATAGCAATTTAGAAAAGCTATGTCTCTGTTTGTATTTCTCTTGTATGAAACTCAAGTATTATATAAAGCCTGTTGATGTTTATGTTTCATCTCATTTCGATGTCATTAAACACATGCTTTCAAATCCAATAATGCATAGCAGAATTGGTAAATGGGCTTTAGCCTTAACAAAATACTCTTTGACTTTCATGCCATTAAAAGCTGTGAAAGGCCAAGTGATTTCTGACTTCGTTGTGGACCATTCATTGGTTGAGCAAACTGTCATGAGTTACATTGAAATGCAACCATGGAAATTATAATTTGATGGTTCAACCCACAGGAATGGAAGTGGTGTTGGAGTCCTTCTAATTTCTCCTGAAGGAATTCCAACAAAATTCAAGTATAAATTGGATGGTCCTCGTTGCTCGAACAACGAAGCTGAGTATGAAGCGCTCATTGTTGGACTTGAAGCTTTGTTGGAATTGGGGGCAACTAGAGTCGAAATTAAAGGAGACTCAGAATTGGTGATCAAGCAAATAACAAAGGAGTATAAATGCATAAAGGAAAACTTGATGATATACTTCATCATAGTCAACAGGCTACTTAGGAAATTTGAATACATGGATATTCAACACATACCAAGAATAGAGAACCAAGAAGCAAATGACTTAGCACAGTAGGCTTCGGGTTATAAAGTTTCTGTCAGGAACTTTGAGGATTTAGTTGAATTAAGGGGTAGAGTTATGGCTACTAGATTCACACCATCAGATCTAGAAAGTATGAAATTGGGATATGCTGAGAAACAGGGATTCGAAATATTAGCCATAAACACTTTATCAGATGCAGATTGGCGAAGTCCACTGGTGAGTTATTTAGCAAATCCAACTCTGAATGTGGATAGAAAGACAAAATACAGAGCATTATCATATCTCCTCATGGGGAACGAATTGTTCAAAAAGACACAAGAGGGCGTATTATTGAAATGCCTAGGAGAAAGTGAGGCATACTTAGCATTGTTAGAAGTCCACAATGGGGCATGTGGGGCACATCAAGCGGGTCATAAAATGAAATGGCTGTTGTTTCAATATGGCATGTATTGGCCTAGCATGCTCAAAGATTGTATAGACTTTGCTAAAGGATGTGAGGAATGTCAGAAGCATGCAGGGATTCAACATGCCCCTGCAAGTGAGTTGCATTCAATCATCAAACCATGGCCATTTAGAGGATGGGCATTGGATTTGATAGGAGAAATAAATCCTGCTTCGTCTAAAGGACAGAAATATATCTTGGTAGGAATAGATTATTTTACCAAGTGGATCGAAGCTATACCATTAATAGTTGCTGATCAAGAGGCTATTATTGAGTTTATACAGAAGCACATTATCTATAGGTTCAGATTGCCAGAGAGCATAACCACAGATCAAGGCTCTGTGTTTACTGGTAGAAAGATGCAAGAATTTGCCCAAGAAATGGGGTTTAGATTATTAACATCAACGCCATATTATGCTCAAGCAAATGGTCAAGTCGAAGCATCCAATAAAGTAATAATAGGGTTAATCAAGAAACATATTGGTAAAAAGCCAAGGAACTGGCACAAAACTTTGGACCAAATACTATGGGCCTGTAGAACATCTCCTAAGGAAGCTACTAACACTACGCCTTTCCAACTCACATTTGGTCATGATGCAGTGTTGCCAGTAGAAATTCATCTACAATCAGTTCAAATTCAAAGACAGAACGAACTTCCAGCTGCATTATATTGGGAGATGATGATGAATGAATTAGTTGAGTTGGACGAAGTTAGATTACATGCATTGGAAATCTTGATGAGACAAAAAGAAAGAGTGGCCAGGACATATAACAAAAGGGTGAAGAAAAAAGCATTCATTATTAATGATTTAGTCTGGAAAGTCATATTGCCCATGGACAAGAAAAATAAAACATTAGGAAAATGGTCACCTCATTGGGAAGGGCCTTTTCGAATACTAAAGGTATTCTCGAAAAATGCATATGAAATCGAAGAATTGGCGAATGATAAACGTATCCTAAAGGTTAATGGGAAATATTTAAAGAAATATAAGCCACGCCTGCAGGAGATTCAAATAGTAACAACGTAACCAAAATATTATAAAAATGCCAAAATGGCAAGATGAGATGCCAAAATGGCGTTGTTCGAATATTACATATAAAAAACCAAATTGTAATCAAATGAACACTGAAATTTAGAAATAAGAATTATTCTTCAATCTGTTGAAGGTACTTCGAAAAGATTCAAGTCTCTGTTGAGCAAAACGTCTGGCTCCTTCCAAGGTTGCCACTTCTCCCTTGAGTTGTTCTGCAGTTTCCATTTCTGCAAGCCCCTGGTTGAGAAGCTCTTCGAATCGGTTACCAGCAGTATTGGTTTCGAAGGCTATTTGTTGTTCTTTAGCCTCTTTAACCTTCTGTTGAAGCTCCTGAATCTGCCTTTCCCAGAGAAGGGTGGACTCAGCTCGAGCCTCATAATCAGTTTTTGCTTGCTTTAGATGCATAGCTTGATCCTCAGCTTCTTGAGAGAGTTTCGAAGCTTGTTCATAAGCAGCATCCATTGCAGTGCGTTTCTCTTGAACCTTTCTGGCAGCAGATTCATCTTGGAGAAGGTAACCAGTTACGTTGTCCAGCAAAGATTGAAGATCGAACAAGATAGTACTAACTGGCAAGGAGCAGGTAGCAAGGTTGACTTTTGTAAGCAACTCCTTCATAGTGTAGCAAGCAGTGCTATCTTGTTTGATCACTTCGAATATATCCACATTAAGAATTGTTTTCCTGATCCTGTTAAGAAGTACAATTCTTTCATCTGCGGGAAGAGGATAGCTAGTCGAACTTGTGCCAGCCCTAGCAAGTGGAATGTCCCTTTGAGCCAGCTTCGCCTTCATGTACCCAATAGGGTCATTTCGTCTCAGGAGTGCAAGCTCCTTGTCAGTCATTCGAGATAAAGATGGTTGAGGGAGTTCCACACGTAGGGGAGTCACGTCCATTTCGACTTCCATGGGTTTGTTAGTTGTGTCACCATCCCCTTCATTTGTTTCGTGCTCATTATCTTCTTCATCGTTGTCATACCCTAATTTTTGACCTAAGATCCCGCATTCCATCCGCATCATTGCATGGTAAGAGTTCACAAACAATTCGACCTATTTTTGCCAATTCCCGAGTCAGATTTCAAAAATTCATAACTTCTTCAAATTTCAATATTTTGAGGGGTTATTTGTTGCATATGATTTTTCTTGACACCATCTACAATTTTTCTTTACAAGACAAGAGATGATTATGCATTGAAAAGCCACGAAAAAGTTATTAACGTTCGAAGTTGTTTCACGAATTTAATGGAATTTGATTCTTAATTTTGGACTATGTTTTATCCGACCATAAATTTTACACTTTCTCTTCTTTTATTTTTAATTCCATGAAAAAAATCCTAAAAAAAATATCTAGTTCATGTCATCTTAATTTTATTTACATTATTATTCAAAATATCAAAAAAAAGTAGTCTCTTCAAGTTTCATTTAGATTTTTATTCTTAAGTCAAAATTATAGTCTTCTAGATTTAATTTAGTAAAAATCTCAAAAAAAAAACATGTCTTAGCATTATTTTATTTTAGCATTTCACTTTAATCACAAAAAAATATATAGTGAATATCTTTTCCTTTTAATTCTTTTAGTTATTATAATTTTCATTTCTTTCTTTCAATATTAATCTTGATTTGGTTCTAATTTTAATTCAACTTTTTAGTTGAGTTATTATTAAAATTAAAATTAATTTTAATTTCTCTTTAATTTTCATGTTTTGGAAATTTTTAGTTTAATATTTTTATTTTTATTTTTTGTTATTATTATTGTTATTATTATTATTATGCTATTCCTCTCCTTGTAAAAAATGTCCAAACAATAAAATCAGTCCAAAAACTTTACTATTGTCCCTATCCTAATTGTCCATAAAATCCAAACATGCTACACAACAAAACTTGCATAATGCTCCAAGCATATCAGTCTGCAAAATAGTTTAAAAATATGTTAAAAAGCCAGCTGCTACTGCTACCCACAACACTCCAAAATTTGTCCAAAAGCAGTTCGAATTACATTAAAATGACAATACAAATCTGCAGCAAAAAGGTGTTAAAACAATGCATCACAAAGAATCCAAATCCATCTCATTTTTCCCCCCAAAATTTCATTATGTTCTCTATATAGACTTAGACTTGGTTAGCAAAAAGAAGGGGGAAGAGATATACCAACAACATAGAAAATCTCAATAGAAAAAACAAAAACAACAAACAGAGAAAACCACTTATCTTTCTCTCCATTCCCAAAACAGCATCTCAAATCTCTCTTTCTCTAGCTAGTCACACTCTTTCAAATATCTTCTTCTCATGTGTAGTAGCATCATTTTCAATAGCAACAAGAGAAAGTGAACCCAAAAGGCTTTTGTTCTTTGATTTTTTCTCTTTACATACACTTGCACTCTGGTGTTTCCTTCTTTCCTACCTTCTGTGTTCCCTGCTCTGAATCTGAACTTGTTCAACTTTGTTTTTATTCTTCTCAGATAGAGAACCATCATCACAGTATTGATATAATAAAAATATTAACAATCTTCTATATTCTATATGGTTACTTACTGGTTGAGAAGTATAAGGTGAAATGCAGCAGCACCTGATGCAGAGGCAGCCTATGATGGCAGCTTACTATTCAAACCAACATCACTTTAATCTAAACTAACTTCATGTTCATCCAACTTCTATCCCAAAACTTGAGTACCACGCTCCTCTTGCAAGCTTGAATCACAACAACACAACATAATACTTGATGCTAACAAATTGGTACAGAGGTTTCTTTTCTTTTTTTTGCAGAAATATGAAAAGAACAAAACAAAGTCATCCGCACAACATCGGCCATCTCTCTATGATTCACTCTCGCCGGCGACTTCATCACCTTCGACGACAACACCTCGAAGCTACGACGCGGACAACTGAAGCTCCAGCCGCACCCTATCTCCACAGACTTCACGCGTACAGACCGCCTTGCCGTTCAACCAGCTTCGGCCTTCCTCACATCGCGATTGCAACACCGGCCGATCTCGCTGCACGACACCATGAACAACCAGCCAACGCTCTACTCAACGTCTGAAAGCAACCGTCGAGCCACTTTCTCAGATCCGCCGAATCACTTTCTCAGATCCGCGTTAAACCCTCTCTCGTCCCAACCGCGAGAACACCACAGCTCCTTACATCGCCAGATCTGCCATTGGTAACCTCTTTTCACACTTTGCTTCTTTTGTTTTTGTTTGTGTGTTTTTTTTGTGGTGAATAAGATGGAAAAGGGAAAGATTGTGATGTGAATGTTTGAGGTGTTAGTTGTATTTGTTTGTTTGAGAGAAAGAATTCACGAAAAAGATGAAGTTGTTGGTTTGTTTTGCTGACATTACTTTTCTCTCATATTAATTGAAGTTTATTTGTTTTTATTTTAATAGTCAATTTGCCATGTGTCTATTTTGTATTGGCTTTTCATAATCATGGAAAAGGTCAAAATTTATAGTGTAGTTTTCTTTTTTAAAAATCAGTATGTAAAAGGGACGCCTCGCCCACGTAACAGCATTTTTTGTATCTTTTTGTCTTTTTTATAATTTATTATAATTATTAATATTATTTAATTCAAATACATTTTCTTTTCATGTTTGAGTATTGGGTGTTTTTAAGAGTTTTATATATGTTCATACCTTTGCATCTTTCCATTGACACCCTCTTTAGATTTTTTATTTTATTTTTCTTAATTTAATTATTAGTTTTTTCTATTAAAGTTAATTCAGGTTGTTATTAAAAAATATATACTAAAAATAATTTTCTTTTATTTCATTAACTAAAACCACACAAAAATATATTAGTAAATCTTATATTTAGATTTAGTTTAGTATTAATTTAGAATTTTTTTTAATTAGTTTAAATTTATTTTATAATTTTAAAATATTTAGAATCATAATTAGTAACTTTAGAATTTTATTTGTTTTATTTTCATTCTAGTAACTTTAGAATTTTATTTCATTTAGATTTGACTTAGTAAATTTTAGAATTTTATTTGTTTTAGTTTTGACTTAGTAAACTTTAGAATTTTATTTTGTTTAGTTTTATTTTAGTAACTTTAGGATTTTATTTCATTTAGATTTGACTTAGTAAATTTTAAAATTTTATTTGTTTTAGTTTTGACTTAGTAAACTTTAGAATTTTATTTTGTTTAGTTTGATTTTTAGTAACTTTAGGATTTTATTTCATTTAGATTTGACTTAGTAAATTTTAGAATTTTATTTGTTTAGTTTTAATTTAGTAAACTTTAGAATTTTATTTGATTTTATTTAAGTTAACTTTAGAATTTTAGTTGTTAGTTTTAGTTTAGGGACTTTAGAACTTTACTTGATTTAGAATTAGTTTAATGAGTTTATAATTTTTATTTGATTTAGAATTAGTTTAATAAGTTTAAAATTTTAGTTGTTTAGAATTAGTTTAATATTCTTTTAGAATTTTATTTGATTTAGATTTAGTTTAGTAACTTTGAAATTTTTTTTTGTTTTAGATTAGCAACCTTGGAATTTTTATTTAGTTTAGATTTAATTTACTAATTTTAAATTTTTAATTTAGCTTAGATCTAATTTAGTAATTTTAGAACTATTTTTGCAACCTTAGAATTTGTAGTTAGTTTAGAATTTTTTTTTTAGTAAGTAATCTTAAATTTTTAATTTAGTTTAAATAACTTCTTTAGATAATTAGTTACATCCCCTTTTATTTTATTCAAATATCTTTGTCATTTTAATTTCTCGATGCCTTTAGGTCATTAATCTATTTCGTTATATTTATTTTCTTATGAATTTTGATTGCTTATCTTTTGATGTCATCTTATTTTACTTGCTCGATTTAATCCAAGGAAAAAAATTAATTTGTTGACTTCATGTCATCGAGTATCTAATACGATTGTGTGAACCCCTTCATACCTTTTTTTAATTTTTGTAAATCTTAAGTTAAATCTCCTCAAAACCTAATTTCAAACATACACTCTTTTAAGTCAAAACTTCGACACTAGGTCGTCACATCTTCAAAATCTCGTCCGTACCCAGTTTTAGCCAAACGAACCATTTTAATCAAACAAACAATTTTAACCAAAAACAGATATTTCAAAAGGTTCCTGCGGAGTACCGCAGATGCATTGGGTGCTAATACCTTCCCATTGTATAACCAACCCCCGAACTCTCGATCTCTTTTCAAAACGCATTGTATTTTCATTACTTTTAAGTATTATTATACATTGCATATTTTAGGGTTTTATTTCGCTCTTTTCCCTTTTCCCTTGGAAATAATAAAGCGCGGTGGCGACTCTTGCTTTGTTGAGTCAAGTTAATTAATAGCTTGATCTCCGATTTTCACCGCTACAATCGTCATCCAAGTCCACCACTTCGATGTCTTCTTTTTCGCTGCTATTTGCATTGGACTCTGTCCCAGCAGTCGAACCATCGTTGGCATCCTCCTCCTCAGACTCTTCTTCTGCAGATTCTTCGTTTCTTTGGCCAGAATCAGCTTTCTCTCCTTCAGCGTGGGTATCCTTTGGGTCCTCTTGAAGGGTTTCAAGAGGGGACTTTTGAAGAGAAGTTCTTTGCAAAGCCTCTGCAGATTCATGAAGTGGTGTTTCACTTGTCTCTTTTAGAGGAGGGGAAGTACTCTGATCATCCTGCTGCTCAGAAGCCCCAGCTAGAACCACCATATTGGAGGAACCTTTATTCTGTACAAGGTTGCTGGAGTCTCCTTGAGGAGAGGAGTTGAGTGGAGCAGCAGCTTTTGATGGTGAGGTCGAATTAGTGGAAGCTGGATTTAAGATATTCTGCAAAGAGCGAAAGAATATTAAAAGCATGCACCAAGGTAATGAGAAATTATTATTTTCAAAAAGATTTGAAGTTCAATTTACCTGTGGACTCTCGGAAGAGAGGTTGCTAGCTATGCGTTCCAACATTACGTTGGAGGTCGAAGATGGAATTTTGGATTTGGGTGAGGGAGCAGCATCCCTGGAATTAAGTCCAGAGACACTAGTTGGTACGGTACTTTTCGAAATATCCTTCTTCTGCTTCTTCTTCGAAGCAGTTGGTAAGTTTCCTCCAGCCTTGGGGTCTTCCCCAGTGGTGTTTGATTTTCGCTTCTTTGGAGTGGTAGGCGGAAGTTTGTTGGTCTGAAAAGATTTAAACAAAGAGTTAGATGCAAATCATGAAACATTAGTGAATTCGAAACATCAAGGCTAAATAATTACCTGTGGAGTTGGAACACTGGTTGTTGTTGGTATTGTTGTTGTTGTTGCAGCAATGGTTGTTGTTTCGGATGGAGTTACATTGTCAGTGGTTTCGATAGAGGCTTGAGAGGCGCTCCCTTCTTTCGACTTTGAAGCAGCTGTCTTTATCCTGATGGCTGAAAATCGAAACAATTAAGGCAAAAGTTAAAGATATGGAAAATGAAAAACGTTTGGGATTTTTCCCAAGCATTCGCACATGTGCCTTGATCAGATTTAATCGACATGGCAGAAAGGTCATAGCGAAGATGTCCTGGGAAATCGTGGAGCCAGTGTCGAGCCCATGTCACAGTCTTAGATGGCTTTGGTTTCTTTTGAAGATGTTTGAACATTTCTTTGCAGGTGAACCACCAAGGGTATGGAGGAAACCAAGCCAGAGCCAGTTCTGAGGTAGGTAATCTAGGAAATTTAGGTGGATGCATTTCGAATGCCAACCTATACCTATCCTCAGGTGACAACCCTGAAGGAAGTTTTAACTTAGAAACTTTTTGTTTGAATTTTTCCTTCAAGGTCTCAGCCGCTTGATGCACAGTGGATTCCAAGTGTGTGGGATCATAAGTAGTTTCGAAATAATTTTGAAAAGCTTTAATCTCTTTGGCATGAGTGAACATACCTTTCTTGGATGGTACCTGCACATCGAAGGCATCAGTTAGTTTCTGCTGAATTGTAAGAGTATCGAACATATAAGTCTGATAAAACTTTGTCCACCATTCCAGAAACCCCTTTGCTGTAAGGTGGGTAGGTTCGAAAGTTATTAGCTCAAACTGGGCAAAGCCTTGGTATTGTTCTTGCTGTAATTTGGCTTCCCGTGCCTTGAAGGTTCGCCCAGAGGTAATGGCACTCTCAGTTTGAAATAAGGGTTCAGGAATTAGTTGGCACAAGCCAAACTGTCTCGAAACAAAATTTGGCTGGTAAGCGAAAAGGAAAATCTGATTCTTGGCAGGAGTTATTCTTGAAGAGATTAGTCTGGGTAGCAAAAAGGCTCTCCATACATCTTGAATCTCTTTGCTCTTGACAGCTTCTGAGAGAGCCATGGTGAACCATGAAGGTCCATGAGCCCTTGAAGCAAAAGGCGCCATGGTCTCTTCGAACTTATGCCTCTTAGAGAATATCATGATGTACTTTGAGAATAGGACTTTGAAGTCATCCTTATCATCATTTGGAGTTAGTCTTCGCAGCCTAGTGCCTTCGATTATTCTATCCGTTATTTCAGGGTCTTGTTCAGCAATGGTGTTGGCAGTTGACAAGGAAGGTTCGAACATGGCATTTAGCCATAACTGAAGTAACCAAAAAGGGCCAGCTAACAGGATATTCTTGGAGGTGTGAGATTTTAGGCTCGAAACAGCTGACCTTAGGCTCTCATAAAGATCAACTAGTAGCAATTCGCTCAAGCACACTCTTCGATTCTCGTGCAAATCTCTGGCTAGAGGAATAAACCTACTAGCTACCTGTAGGGATCTGCTGCAAAAGACATATCTTGACAGCCATAAGGTAAGGAAAGCAATGTGTTCTACATCAGACACACTGTCTCCTTCAGCATGGTAGTGGCTGATAAACTTTGAAAAGCTTGCTAGTTTGACTTCGAAGTCGATTATACTCGAATGTTCTTCGTTGTCAGGGATATATGTTTCTCCTACTGGTGATAGCCCAGTAATGGCCTCTATGTCAAAGAAGGTAGGGGTAATCATTCCACCAGGAAGATGGAAAGTATTATAAGTATTGTCCCAGAAATATAGGGACGCGAATAACAATGGGTGGCTGTAAGTAAAACCTGGCTTCGACAGCTTAATCAAGTTGTAGATACCTAATTC